GTTGTCAACATGTACAGTAATGGGAAATCCAGACTTTTGCCCGTTTAGCGTTAGCTGTTAGCTTCACCAGCTGATCACATGGTCACATGGTTTTTACTCACTCCAGTTGTTCTATAGGACCTCTTTGGCATTTTCTCAGCAAGGGATGCTGGGTAATCTTGTAGAAATGATGTGTTTACATATTTATGACTATTAAACAAATTTATGAGAAAAAAAAGTAGTTCTTCTGGTTAGTTTGTTTTGATTAGTTTGTTCAAGTTTAAGTTTGTGTTATTGGCCATAAATCGACACCATGAGTGAGAGGTACTTCCTGGTGTGAAGAAGGGTGACTCCATTATACCTTTCTRCTAACTAAGTAGTGTTAATKGAGCACTACAAAGTTTCATTTAAACTCTGAGTGTTAAATTTATACTCAAATTTATGGTGTAATAAGTACACCTTGTGGTGTCTGTTAACCTTTTTAACACCACAATTTCCTTTGTTAAAAATAAAACACTGGTGTTACTTTACCACTATATTTTAACACTGTTGAARTGTTAATGTGACACCCAATATTTTTGAATATTACACACTGGCTGGTGTTACTTTTAACACTATACTTATACTATACTGAAACACTAACATTATTTTTATGTTAAAGTGACACCCAACATTGTTGAATATTAAACACTGGTTGGTGTTAAATTAACAAAAAAATGGGTGTTRAAATTTAACACTTTCATAAATGTTATTTTAATACCARCAAGTGTGGACACATATAGACACTTTGTTGGTGTTGAAATTAACACTGTGTGTGTTAAATTAACACTGGCATTTGARACATGAAGAAAAACTTTTAACTATTGAAGGACGATATCAAATCCCTTCAGAGGCTATTGAACCTACATTAACTTGTTTTTCTTTATTTTATTTTACTTTTTTGGACAATGCAGCCTGATTCTCCACTAATAATGYAGAAATAAATATAAAGCATGGGAATGATAATAATGCAAACACTAAAGAGGGAGAATTGAACTACAGCAGAACCTCTCCTCCAGCCATCTGGCATGGATGCACAAATTTAGCAGCAAGCCAGTTCGTTTTCCTCCTCACAACGTCCAGAAGGGAGTTTCTGTTCCAGGGAAAGCTGGTATCAAAAGCTTTGAATTTATTAAAATCTATTTTTCTCTTGTGCTATGTAGAGGGAGAATACTAATTTGCACTTATCTTTAGCAAAACAAAGTAGGACTAGAAGAGCAACACGTCCACTCAGGATTTCTTCAGCCTGCTTTGTTAGGGTTAGTTTTTCAGATAGTCCGACTTCTCTCTTCATCTGATCACAACTCCTGAAATGAAGCTTTCTGCTGATTTTATATTCTGATTTTCCCTCTTTATGTCTTTGAATGCACAGAGTTCCTGAGGGAAGAGGTGGTTGTTCTTCTCACAGCTCAGTTCATCACTCTCTTCAACCAGACGGCGTTAGAGGTGAGAGCAGCTTTTACTGAGATCCAAACCTTTCCTCTTAATGTCTCACAGTTTAAAGGCTGGGTGAATCCAGGATGTATCAGTTTGAACTTTATCTGCAAAGACTTTATACAACAAATGCACATTAAAGATGAAGAGTCTTCAACAATAGTTGCATGGTTTCTACACTGCTTGTCTAAAAAAGATGCTTGAATGTTCGGTTGGACCACCTTTAGCTAAATAGCATTCAGTTTTTAAAATAGGCTCACAGGTATGGAGGTAAATTAGTCTCAAAAAGATTTGCGCTTATTAATATTTAAGCGACAAAATTAATTTCCATGAGCACGTGGATCTGCTTAACCTAGGAATTTGAATAGTGAGACTTTTTTAACACTGCAGATTTACACATCTAAGGCTGGTGAAAAGATGGGACTTTACCAATTCTATTGGGTTATTGGGAAATGGCATTGACGTTATTGGGCCTTAAAAATGTTAATTTTGTGGACTGTATGGCTGAAATAAGTAACCTAAAGTGAGTAGGTTGAAAATTTATCAGAAGAAAACAAATACATCACCCAGAAAAAATTATTTCCCAGTAGTTTCACTACAAAAAGKATAACCTATTCATTTARAAATGTYTATTTCAGCTGTGCAGTCCACAGAATTAACATTTTCTTYTTTTRGAAAAACTAYCAGAAAAATACATTTCAACTGTTGCCTCCCAGCAAGAAGGTTGCCGGACCRAATCCCAGCTGTGTATAGTTTGCATGTTCTCTTTGTGCATGCATGGGTTCTCTCTGRGTACTCCTGCTTCCTCCCATACACCGACCCCGACACTGTCACCATATACCGGTATATGTATTAGCTCAGCGCTACACATTCTCCTCTCATCACTGAGGTCCTCCATCTACATGACAGAGAGGGGAAC